ACGGCGTCTCTCATAATCATGTAGTGGTTTTGGGACGTTAAACCCCACAAATCAATCAATCAATCAATCCATTCTTACGAAGACTATCCTGCGCATTACATGCCATATTATGTGCCCAAAATGTTATTCACAATTTGCTAGAGTTGTGACATGCAAATTTGGGTTGTTGCATTGCCGTTCACATCTTTAGCATCCACGAACCACGTCTGCAAGTGAAAGTTGCCACCAAAAAGCAAGGAGTAGGCAACGGAAGAAAACGGAATCACTCAACCACGATGCGCAATACATCTCAATCAGTTGAACTAGCGCCCTTACAGCTGAGCGAAAAGTAGAACATTGTGATTTTACCAAAACAGTCTCTTTTACTAGCCGCCACGGTGGTTCAGTGGTTATGGTGCTTCATTGCTGACCCGCAGGTCGCGGAATCGAGTTTCTGTCGTATTTTCAATGTGAGCGAAAATGCTTGAGGCCACAATGAAAATGTGCATCAGAACAAGGTGCACCAGAAACCACTCTTGTCAGGATTACAAAAATTGTACATATGTATCATTCGTCATATTTTACAAGTACTAGGTGTCCATGCATACGTCATCACCGATTGCGACAAATTGCACTCGCCAACGTCAAAGTGAAGAATCTAGATACTTCACTTTGACGTTGAAGATTGATATGCAGAGTTTTAAACTTCCTAAAACCACCATATCATTATGAGACACGCCGTAGTGGAGGGCTCCGGAAATTTCAACCACCTGGGGGTCTTCAACGGGCACCCAAATCTGAGCACACGGGCCTACAACATTTCCGCCTCCATCGGAAATGCAGCCACCGCAGTCGGGATTCGATCCTGCGGGTCAGCAGCCTAGTACCTTAGCCACTAGACCACCACGGCGGGGCAATCATATTGTGGTTCTCACAATGGTCTCTCATAATCAACTTGTCACCCACAGAAGATCACAGATACGGTGGAGATCAGTTTTTTTTGGTTTAATTCCTTTTGTGCTTGCGCTGATGACTTCATCTTTTCAGCGATTGATCGCCTTTGAGTTCATCTAGAAAATTCGCGTATAGAGCAGCGGGCTTGTGGCAGTCGCACTCGTTGTGGCTTTTGAAATGTTCGAGTGCATTCTCCAACGTGTGAACAAAGAGAGGACGAAGGCACCAAGACCCCTTGCCTGAACTTTTATTTCCAAAAAGCACACATGTCTTGCAGACAGCTCTGTCCTGAAATCAGAACACACCAGCTAGGAAGGAAAACATTTCTTGCCAGCGAGGTTGGAACTTCAGTTCGCGCTTGCCGGGAGAAGGCTGTAGTTAGCGCCTGGTTCCGATGGCGTCATTTGCAAACGTCCTCTTGCCTCGTCGTCCTGTGAATCTTGGCGCCTTGGCCCGTTAAACACGTAAAATAACGACCAATGTCGTTGTGAAGCATCGCAGTTTTTGTGCATACATCATGCTCCAATCGGTTTTCAGGAGTTCTTTCCGCACACGAGCCATATTCAGACAGTGCAGAATTACAGCTGGTAACCGTTTCTTCGGCTGCTGTAGCTTTTTCGCCAGTTGTCGAGTGTGCACTGGGAGCAGCGTCCCCTTTCAAGAAATAATCGTCAAGCGTTATACGGCGTTTTGTCGCAGCCATCAAGCCTCATAGAAGGGCACCGATTGACACAGAACACGAACTACCCAGAAATACGTGTAGGCAGCGTATTTCAATGGGGTGACTTCGCATTGCTAGGAAGCAACACGCTCAGCTAAGTTCGGGCAGTGACACCGAATGCGAGAAACGAGAACTTTAGCGACGATACATGCCAGCTGGTGAAATTCCGCCTTAAACACTAGCGCTCGTTTCTCCCCTGGCGGAAAGATTCGCGGGTACACAATTCATCCTCTCCCCTTCAGGTACTGATAAGGTCGCGCTCGCACTGAGCGCGAAACATCTCGCGTTTGTGATTGCGCCCCTATGGAAGGCTGGCAGTTCCTGTATCGTTGTGATCCCATGCCCCAAACGTGAATGAACGCGAAGGAGTTGATGTCAGCAAATTCCAGCGACTCGCATCAGAATGCCGGAAACAGACAATGGACAGGCATGAATGGTACACAGTACTACAGTGCACTAGTTCTTATAATACACTCTAGCAGTACAGCGTAAATAAACTCGTGTTGAATGCACTGGCAGTTCTCGTCAGAGTCTGAGAAATTGATTATGGTTCACTATGCTGTGGAGAAGACACCTTGCCGAAACGCCATCGTTTCAAGCTACAGAACAACAAAAGCTGAAAAACAAAAACGGTGAACATTACGCATTTTCAAGTTCTCTAGCACATACAGGCAGCGAACAAGCTATTTCTCTGTGAGTAGGTATAGTCTAGCCCCCGGTGCATTTTCTATCGCGAGCAAGTGAACATTTCTCAACAATGATTACTTTGCTCTTACAGATTGCACGATAAAACCCCTACGATTGGAGTACTTCATTGTAATCAAAAGCCGCAGTGCAACTGTAGTGTCACCCAAGGTTGCGAGAAAGCTCGAAAAATAACGCGTGCGAAATCATGTTGCCGACGTGCAGCATCACTTACAAAAAAAAAATTACTTATAAGCATGCTTGGATGCGCACAGTAAAGCAAAAAAATGTTGACTAAAAGCCATCACTGCGTCAGGGCTACTTGACATAGGGAGTTCAAGATAAAAATCATTCCCATAGGAATGCAGTCACAAACGTCGACAGTAAGAAATTCGCTTAGTAAAATAAAAACCGAAATGCAGATATGAATGTAAAAAAACAACATGCTGCGTATACCTCTAATCTCATTCCACGTTGTAAGCGGAGCTGTCCTTCACTTGTAAAAGGCGCTTCGCCCTGACAAGAACTACGCCATCCACGCTTCATTAACGATGTCTTCTCCGACCGGGCGAGTCGTCACAATGATGCTTTTTCGAAGACTAGCTCATTCAATGGTGCGACGAGAGGCCGTTGCTCCAAACGGCAACTGTACATATCGTTTACTGTATTTTACTACTTGATTATTTTCTCTCTCTTCACAAGCATATGAATGGGGGGGGGGGGGGGTGCTCATTACTGATATACATGTACACAATCTGCTCAAAATACCACCGATAATTACGTCACAGAGATAAGCCGATGCCTGTGTCCCCCCCCCTCCCCCACCAGAAAACAAAATGGCAGCATATCCACGGGGTAAATGACGGAGAGTGGGGCGAAGCATCCGTCCGTTCATTCGTTCTTGCTTCTGTCCATCCATGCGTCCGTCTGTGTGACCATCCGTGCAGCTATCCGTGCGTCCGTCCATGCATCTGTCTGTGTGTCCGTTCGTCCATCTAGTCAACACTCCAAGTACCACCAGCTCTCATCTTTTCATCATATATGCGTTGGTCTGTGTGACCGCCCATGCGTCCATCCGCCCGTCCGTTCAGCCATTAATGCGTCCGTTCATGTATCTGTCTGTGTGTCCGTTCGTCCATCTTGTCAACACTCCAAGTACCACCATCTCGCATCTTTTCATCATATATTCCCCATATAGAAGCACCGCCATCCAGCGGACATTTCAAGGACTAAACGAGAGGTGGCACACGCACACTTTCTTACGGCTTGGGCGTCTCATCTACTTCCCACCTTTAACCACCTCGAGTTCATGGTATATACTAGTTCACTGTATTCATGGCAACGCTCGCTAAACCTTTCTAAAACCAAGGAGGTTACGCCCAGCGAGTATAACCTAGCAACCCTTTCTTGTCAGATAGTGCTCAATGTACATGCAAATGGCTGCTAATTGCGAATAAGAGACAGGAGAATTCAGCTTTTAGATGACGCGCACGCTGCAATATTTTTTTGTTGTTGTTCAACAACGCACAGGAGCAATCCTCCATCGGCACCACCTTGCAGGTCAAAGAATAAGACTGGCTACGCACTACGACTACGACGAGGGACGAACGGGTGCCGCTTTAAGGAGCTTCGCCCCAAAAATTTCTGGCTACGCTCCTGCCATACAGCAAGCGTAGCGCTTTTTTAAAACTATGTTGCACGCTTTTATACAACGAACAAAATGCGCCTCCATCCGCTGCCAGGACTGCTAGAGCATCGCGGAGGGAGCAATGCTTGTAAGCTCTTCGTCGTTTGCCGCGTTAACCCAGCTGGCTACTACTCGCCGCATCTGTGCATGGCCTGAAGCGGAGAGGGCGTACTCTACAGCCAGCGGATCGACAGTCACAGTGTGCATCGAGTGAGAGAAGCGCTGCACGCAACTAGCCATGCAGTAAACGATATGGCTCTGTGCGACCGTACCACAGAACATGTCCTTCCTCCATGCCACAAAATACCTACCAGACTGTAGTGCGTTTAAAAAATGAAAAACTGCGCCATATTTGGCTTAGATGCAGGCCGCGGAACAACTGTGTCACGGACAGCCGATTGTATCCGTTTTGTTGCAGTACCAAACTGTGTATCCTGGACCCCACAGTAGTTTCGAAATGCTCTTCGGCGTCGCCACCACGTGCGATTATGCAAAAGTCAGCAACTTTTCTGCACTTGGGCAAAAAGAAAGAAATGGCTTTGCGGTGGGCACTTCAGACAATATTTCCTATGGCACTGAGTTTCTTCCTTTGTTGGCAGCGATGGCGTATGTCAGGGGATACAAATTAGTAGCTAGTGGTTAATGTGCGTTCACTGCATAGTTATATCGCCGTTCTGGGCAGGTACATATTAACAGGGTCTCACTGTACTAAATGTTGGGCTTTTACGTCCCAAAACCACAATTATAAGAAATGCAATAATGGGTAGTACTTCGGAAATTTTTACCACCTACACAAGTGTTCTTTGCATTTCACCCTCACCGAAGTGCGGCAGCAGAGGCTGGGAATCGAGCCTGCGCCTTCAAGCTTAGCAGCACGGAAACCCTGCCTGATGAGTCACCTTGGCGGGTCAACAGCACCAATGTGAAGGTAGCAATCAGCAGGTGTAGAGGGAGAACTAATGATTTAGAACCCAATTGGTGATTGCTTAGTTTTATTTATATATAATACCATGAGTTTGAATTCCTTGTACAATAGCAGACACAAAGCTTAAACAACAGCACTAGGCTCAGTGAAATAAAACGTACATAATGGTGCACAATGATTTGACGCTTCAATATTTAAGGTTGTAAAGGAAGAGAAACAGATTCATAGACATGACCAAATACTTCTGCATGTGGATTAAATAACAGGCCTGAAGAGAATGCATTAACTACCGATTATCAAGAAACAAAAGCAGTTGAGTTGCAAGCCGAAGAGATACTGAAAATGACACTTTCATTTTGAAGACGCAGGTGCTAACTAGCTTTTTAGTGCCAACCAACACTGCAGTCAAGCAAACTGCACTCCATAGTGTGAAATGCTGCACCATTGAATTTCGCAGCAAGCTATTCCCAGGCCTTCATGCAGAGCAAGAACGAATGACTGCACGGCAAACTGACTGCTCCAGACGAATACTGCAATTTGACATTACACGGGCCACACATCTGTGCTTTCAGTGTTTCTTGATTGAGCTAACGCTGAGCTTTGAGTGTGAGAAAGGGGAAAAAGGAGGGAGGAGGAATAGTAGAAAAAAAAGTAACTGATGGTCAAACTAACGCTCTGTACTTGAGTAGGAGGGGTCTGTTCCAGCTGGTACAATAACTTTCTGTTCCAGGACCTCAGGTAATTCCTGTTTTGAGCGGTCAAAAAACACATGTTTACAAGTGCTCAGTTGATGGCACATGTGGCGAACTCAAATAAGAATTCCAGATTTGAAGAACGAATTTGTTATATTCATGGTGTTTCATTGGAAGTGGATAATTACACATTAAAGACCTCCATGCCATCATGAAAAGCCTAAAAATATGATCATACACACACACACATACAAACATACACTATGCATCAAACTTTCACCCTTCACTTTCGACAAGCAATGAACTTATGTAGCACTTTCACTTCGTACACAATACTTGCTGTCAAATCAAACAAACAACCCAAAAGAGAAACTACCCCTAACTCTCACTATATAAGCTAAACTTTTTTTATTAACTTTCAGCACACACCTTCAAGTAAGCTGTCACACAAAGTTGAAGAAACAAACTAAAGAAAAAAAAGCTGTGCTACAAAATGTTTCATGGCGATGAAGATACTGCCTCCTTTAGAAACTTCCGCACACATTCAGTATCCCTAGCGATCCACGCCGCATTCAGCCTGATGTTCTCCAGGGACTGCTGGACGACACGCTCCACACCAGGAAAGTAGTTCTGGCTGAAGAACAACTGCAGTGTCAAGAAAGCTAGTCAGAATTCATACCAGGTACTCAGCATTCCTTTACTTATTTCCAAATATATTCAAACAAGGATGAATGCCTCAAGCAACTATTTCACCAACTTATGAAACTAACAGACAATGAAGGAAGGTATTCGGGACATTACTCGTATGTTTTCTCAATACTAGTAGTGTAGGAACGAGGTCCATACCAGTGCCAAGTTGAATTTTCATCAAATTTGTTCCTTTGCTTTCATGTCACACTCCACTAAAAGTTTAATAAATGTTGTGTTCCAAGCACCCCTGTGTCACGAGCGAGCATCCGAACCCGCGAAGGACCGGTTGATGAAACTGCTTCCAGATGTTGACTCCTCCCCTTCCCCCACTCGGCGCAAACGAGCCACCGCCGTTTCCCCCGGCAGTTCGGCCGCCGCCTCCATCCGAATAGGAATAAACTTGTTTTTAACCGTTCGAGGCTGTCTGAGCTTTATGGACTACCGCGACCGACGCGTACGTCTATGGGCCGAAGACAACACCGGACATAACAGTGGCGACCAGGAAGTGGATTTGGACCAACGCTACGCAACGATATTGACAAGCTACAAGCTATGGCTACGCACGGGCTCCCAAATCGGCTACCCGTATTCAACGGCTCATCATGGTCATCGTGGTTTGGACGCCTGCAATTTTACTTCGAGGCTAACAACATCACTGATGCAGCAATGAAGAGGGCCAACCTGCTAACGCTGTGTGGGGAGCAGACATACGACACAGTCTGTGCCCTGATTCAGCCACGCACTCCAGCAGCCGTTGACTACGACGACATCGTAGCAGCGCTACAAGAGCACTATGACCCAAGGCCATCGGAGGTCTACTGTCGAGCCCGCTTCCAACGGCGAGATCAACTGGAAGGCGAAAAAGTGGCCGAATACGTAGTGGCTCCCAAAAAGCTCGCTGCTGACTGCAATTTCGGGACGTTGACCGCGACAGCTGCAGCTACTGCGCAGGAGGGAGGATCGACTGCCACACCTGCTAACACCACTATGCTCCCCTTGGACGTTATGTTGCGTGACCGTTTTGTGTGCGGACTGCGTGACGCAGGCCTACAACAACGCCTGTTCGCGGAGACGGGTCTCACCTTCTCCAAAGCCTACCACATCGCCCAACGAGCGGAGAGCGCCGGTCACCAGCAGAGGGATATTCGACGGAACATCGAGCCGGTGCATCACCCCAGTCAGCAGTCAGGTCATTCCACGTCTAAGGTGAAATCAAGCAGAAAGACGCAGCGCTGTTGGCGATGCGACGACATGCACGATCACCAGGTATGTCGATACAAGACAGCGACCTGCAATTTTTGCCAAAAACTGGGACACATTGAAAGGGCATGCATCTCGAAGCGCAAACAACTCAGACCGAAGACTTCAGTGCAACGGAACAACAATGTCGACGCACAGGAGGGCCAGACGCAAGATACAAGCCGAACAGCACTAACGTCATCGGCACTATACGACTTAAACGCCGTTGTGAACCTCGGAACGAGACCGAAGATTACAACTGAAATTATGGTACACCAGCGCCCTATCAGGTTTGAGGTGGATTCCGGAGCAGCATGTACGCTCATCAGCGAGGACACTTTTCGCGCTACTTGGCGTGAGAACGCGCCAGCTCTCCAGCAAGACGACAGCAGCTGAGAACGTGGTCCGGACATTCCCTTCCACTGCTGGGCTGTGCCAACGTAGACGTGTACTACAACGGGCAGACCCATCAGCTCCCCTTGCTAGTCGTCCACGGTTCTGGATCAAGCCTTTTAGGACGAAATTGGTTCACCCCCCTTGGAGTGGTCATTGGCGGAGTTCACCACACACTCAGTTATCCGTCAGTGGAGCAGCTTCAAGATAAGTACAAAGCGGTTTTCTCCGAAGAAATACCAGGGAACAACGGACCTCCAGTCACACTGGAGCTGCGGGAGGATGCGACGCCGAAATTTTTGAAAGCTAGGTCGGTGCCTTTCGCCCTAAGAACGTCAGTCGAGAATGAGCTTGACCGACTGCAGGAACAAGGGATCATCGAATCGACGCAACATTAGGAATGGGCTACACCACTCGTTGTCGTCCGAAAAAAGAACGTTATCCTACGCCTCTGCGAAGACTACCGGAGCACTGTCAACCTGGCGACAAAAGCATCTTCCTACCCACTGCCGACACCGGAAGAGGTTTTTAGCACGCTTCGTGGTGGAAAAATCTTCAGCACCTTGGACTTGACACAAGCCTACCAGCAGCTGAAGGTGAGCGAATCAACGTCTGAACTGCTCACAATAAACACTATTAAGGGTCTTTACAAAGTTAAAAGGCTACCATTCGGAATATCTGCAGCGCCAGCAATCTTCCAGAAATTTATGGAGTCTACACTTAGCGGGATCCCAGGTGTTTGCGTCTACTTGGACGATGTTATTGTCGGTGGCGCCTCCAATGAAGAGCACACAGAACGCTTGGAGCTCATTTTGGAAAGGCTAGCAAACGCTAATTTGCGCATCAGTAAAGAAAAATGTGTTTTTGCGGTGCCTGAAGTGAAGTTTCTTGGACATCAAATTGACGTGCAGGGTATCCATCCCACTGAAGACAAAGTGCGTGCAATCACCGAAGCCCGAGCGCCTACTAACAAGCAAGAACTGCAGTCGTTTTTGGGGCTATTGACGTTCTATGACCGGTTCTTAGAACATCGAGCTACAGTGGCCAACGATCTATAGCAGCTCCTGCAGAAAAAAGTCCCATGGACTTGGTTGCCTCGCCACCAAGAGTCATTTGTTGCCCTTAAGCAACTACTTCGCAAGTCTACTGTTCTGCGACACTACGACGATTGATTGATTGATATGTGGGGTTTAACGTCCCAAAACCACTATATGATTATGAGAGACGCCGTAGTGGAGGGCTCCGGAAATTTAGACCACCTGGGGTTCTTTAACGTGCACCCAAATCTGAGCACACGGGCCTACAACATTTCCGCCTCCATCGGAAATGCAGCCGCCGCAGCCGGGATTCGGCTGCTGACCCGCGCCCTGCGGGTCAGCAGCCGAGTACCTTAGCCACTAGACCACCGCGGCGGGGCGACACTACGACGAAAGGAGACCCCTACTGCTAGCCTGTGACGCATCACCATACGGAGTGGGAGCAGTCCTCTCCCAAGTTGACGACCAGGGACGGGAAGCCCCGAATGCTATTGCTTCGCGCACCCTATCGCAGGCAGAGAGGAATTATTCCCAGCTAGATAAAGAGGGACTTGCCATCGTCTACGCAGCAGATCACTTTCGGCAGTACATTACCGGCAGGAAAGTGACTTTCATAACAGATCACCGGCCCTTATTGGGTATTATGGGTCCCCAGAAGCCAATGCCACAGACATTGTCGCCGCGAATGACACGATGGTGCATCAAGATGTCGGCGTACGATTACGAACTCGTACATCGCACTGGGAAGAAACACCAGAATGCCAACGCACTAAGCCGCCTGCCGCTAGACACCACAATAGATGAACCACCCCCGCCGGGTGATACACTCATGTTCGAGGTGCTGCCGAACCCTCCGCTAACAGCTGACACGGTAGCAGCATCAACGCAGGAGTGCACTGTCTTGAAGGAAGTCTACGCAACTATACAAGAAGGCAACGTGCAGAAGCTAAAGAGTGAACACTTCAACGCTTACCGCAAGCGAGCTGCGGAGTTGAGCACTCATCGCGATTGCGTCACCTTGGGATCAAGAGTTGTAATTCCAGCGGCACTTCGCGAACAGGCCATGTCGCTTGTCCACGCAGGTCATCGAGGCATTGTTGCCATGAAAAAGTGCGCCAGAAGTTATATGTGGTGGCCTGGTATCGACCATGATATAGAATCAACAGTTCACGATTGCCAGCCTTGCCAAGGCAACCACAGAAGCCCGCCAAGAGCCCCTTTTCCTGAATGGGAAAGACCAGACACGCCTTGGCACACCCTGCACATTGATATTGCTGGACCTATCGAAGGGTGTTCGTTCCTGGTGGTTGTAGACGCATACACCAAGTGGCTGGAGGTAAAACAAATGGCTACAACTACATCGGCAGCAGTTATCGACACTCTGCAGTCGTTGTTTGCAACGTTTGGCCTACCGCGCAAGGTGGTCTCGGACAACGGCACTCCGTTTGTGTCCACGGAGATTCTCAAGTTTTACAGCGACAACGGCGTCTCGTCTGTTACATCAGCTCCTTACCACCCGGCTACGAATGGACAAGCCGAGCGCTACGTGGCTGAGCTAAAGCGCGCCCTTACTAAAGACCCGACTGGGGCAATGCAACGCCGTATCGCGCGCTTTCTCTTCAGATAGCACAACACTGCTCAAAGCACTACTGATCAAACGCCAGAGAAATTGATGTTCGGACGAGAAATGAGAACCCAGCTGACAGCAATTGTCCCAAAGCCCTCAGCGAAAGCACCGTCGGAGGAAGCAAAGCTCCCGCATAGCAGGAGAATTGAAAGTGGACAGCGCATATACGCCCGCCAGTTCCACAGAAAGCCCGGCTGGGTAGAAGCGACGGCACTCAAACGCATAGGTTTGCGGTCATGGCTCGTCGACATTGGTGGAAAGGCCACACGCCGCCCCCTTAATCAGCTACGCCGTTCAGGTAATTTGCCAAGGGAACCTCCCATTCAAGCAGCCACCTCGACGGAAGCTTCGTTCCACTTAGCCTGGCATCTCGCACCAGATGAATCGGCGCCGCCGCCCGCCGGCCCTGAACACAAGAGAAACGACACCCAGCGAGCGGAGGCTTCTCTTCCTAGTGCGCCCAGAGCGTCCACGCGCCCACGGCGGCCCCAGATCGCTTCCAAGCGACAATCTAAGGAGGGAGGAGATGTTGTGTTCCAAGCACCCCTGTGTCACGAGCGAGCATCCGAACCCGCGAAGGACCGGTTGATGAAACTGCTTCCAGATGTTGACTCCTCCCCTTCCCACGCTCGGCGCAAACGAGCCACCGTCGTTTCCCCCGGCAGTTCGGCCGCCACCTCCATCCAAATAGGAATAAACTTGTTTTTAACCGTTCGAGGCTGTCTGAGCTTTTTGGACTATCGCGATCGACGCGTATGTCTATGGGCCGACGACAACACCGGACATAACAATAAACATACAAGTAATGTCCGTGTACCTTTCTAAGCTTCACTGCCTGCAAAAAATAATAAATAAATAAACCTTTGATCAATATTCTAAAGCAAGCTGTACTCAGAAAAACTTGGGAGGACGCTTGAGTTTTCCACTCAAGGGTAGAATGAGTTAGCTTAATTGGGCCCTGTGAGCATCGCCTTCCCAATCTGCTAAATCTCGTCCAGTTCGTGGTGGATGTCTCAACCTTGCCGCAAAGAAATGAACATGTGCGCATGCAATACTGCCCGTTTCAAGCTATTCTAGAATGCCTACAGCAAGTACAGTTCCAGTATGCCCACTACATACTGTAACTACTCGAATCTAACGCGTACCTTTTTTCCAGTTAAGCGAGTTCATAAATCGCATGCGCGTTAGAATCGAATATGAAAAAAAAATTGAATACGGTCATTCTATTGCCATGGACATTTCCAAAATGGCCGCCCCCTATGTGCGTCGGCATGGCGCGTCGGCCATTTCTGCCTATGTGTTTCCCATGTGCGGCACTTCGTACGTGTGCTGAGGAGTTAGTCACCTTGTGCATTAGCATCCACAGCATGGAAGGGCAGACTCCAAAAACTCAACGAGTGCACCACAATGCCGCTTTTAAAAGAAAAGTCATCGCGTGTGCCGAAACGGGCGGAAATCAGGCCGCATCGCGGTCGTTCAGAGTTCCCGAAACGTGCGTGCAGGACTGGTGGAAACAAAAGCGGAAGATTGGCCCCGCCGCGGTGGTCTAGTGGCTAAGGTACTCGGCTGCTGACCCGCAGGGCGCGGGTTTGAATCCCGGCTGCGGCGGCTGCATTTCCGATGGAGGCGGAAATGTTGTAGGCCCGTGTGCTCAGATTTGGGTGCACGTTAAAGAACCCCAGGTGGTCTAAATTTCCGGAGCCCTCCACTACGGCGTCTCTCATAATCATATAGTGGTTTTGGGACGTTAAACCCCACATATCAATCAATCAATCAAAGCGGAAGATTGTTGACAGCAAAGATTCACGCAAGGGCTTCAGTGGACCACAGCCGGATCAGTTTCCGCAAATTGAAGAGATGCTCGGCGAGTATATGATTGAGCAGTGAGCAGCACAGCGGCCCGTGACGATAGAACTGCTCCAAGTGCAGGCTATGCAGTTAGCCTTAGAAAAAGGGCTAATGCGGAGCCAGTTCAAAGCGAGCAGGTGCTGGCTAACTAACTTTATGAAGAGGAAAGGCTTTTCCCTCCGAAGACGAATGGGCATATGCGAAAAGTTTCCGGAGGAGTACGATGAAAAGCTTCAGAGTTTTTAGAGGTTCGTCCTAAACTTGCGGCATAACAACGGGTACCTGCTTGGGCAAATCGGGAATGTCGATCAGACGCCTCTTTACTTCGACATACCTGGCATCACAACCGTCGAGAAGAAAGGGGCGAAGCAAGTTCGCGTGCTGACATCGGGCCACGGTGAAACTAGAGTGACGGCAATGGTCCGTTGCACGTCAGATAGGTACAAGCTTCCCCCGTACCTCATACTTAAACGGAAGACGCTCCCGAAAGGAGTCGTTTTCCCGTGTGGTGTGATCGTGCGGGCCAATGAGAAAAATGGGTGCGCGTTGCAATCGATGTCTTACTTTTTTTTTTCTTCGTGGAAACCGGGTGCGCGTTACAATCGAGGGCGCGGTAGAATCGAGTAAATACAGTAATTTTTTGTTTGCAAATCAGCACAAGGTTTGCAGTCATGAATAATGCTGATTTTTTGCTCACAACCAATGAGGTCAATGCATATTCCAACACTGATACCAGAATTCTGCAAAACAAAATAGTTTGTGCTATTGCGTTTAAAAAAATGTGGTATGCCTTTTGTCAATTCAAGCTGTACCAGAGGATATTTACCAATACTATTATTACTGCTACGATCATACTGATTATAATTGTACAGCATATAAAGCACTCTAGTTTCTTACTGACAAACAACACCATCAAAAAAGTTCTGCAGTACTTCCTGCAAATGACGAATAACTACCATAAAATGCCGAACAAGCGCCCCCCCCCCCCCCCCCCCCACCTATTTCGTGAGATCTTAAAAAAGCACCAAGGAAGCACCAATGACTGATCAGGGATCAGGCGAGTGCCCACTCCCAAATCTGGTCAGATTATCTTTCACTGTGTGGGTGAAAGAGGGGCGGGGCGTTTACTCAGTAAAAAAAAAATGAGAGACTGACAGGCTGCTAGTTGGTAGCACAAGAAGGGACACAGCCCTGTGTCCAGTCTTTCTTTTGCTGTCTATGTGATTTTTTGCACTACTGCCTGAATTAGGCGAGGAGCTGAAGATCTTGATGCCTGCTCTATACGACATCATCCTTAAAGGGACACTAAAGGCAACTATTAAGTTGACATTGATTGTTGAAATAGCGGTTCAGAAACCTCGCAGTGTTACTTTTGTGCCAAGAGAGGACTTATTTTGAAAATAAAATCACGTTTTAGTGGCCTGCATCAGCTTAGCGCACATCAAACTACCCGCCTCAAGAAGCGGTCCTACTCGCGTCACTGTTGCCATGCACAACGCTGCCCGGCTTTACCGCGGGGTTGCCGACACTAGTAGACAGAACGAGAGCAGCAAGAGCCACATCAACAACAACGGCTATTGATCGGTTTCCTGCCATTGGCTCCGAAATGGCAGACGTGTTTTGGTTCAACTGCGCCCCGCTAGATGGCACGACCTGTCCAGCGTAATTACGTAAAAATTGAATTTTCGAACCACTCGCACCATTACCCATAGTAAAGTATGGTGGTTCTTTTTTTCATGAATCAAACAGGAATGAACAAGCAGCATTTTATTGCATCTCTTGATGCATATAATGTTTTTTTTTTTATTTAGTACAGCTAGATCGATTACTAGTGATTAATTCTAGATGACTCGTCTGACTTCATCGGTATCATTTTGAGAATGTCCTACTGCGGCACATGTATTCTTGTGCATTTAGTTCAATTTCTTGGTAAGTACAACACTGCTGTTGATAATATTGTCGTTTTAGATGTCGTCCTACATTGAGTTTTCACTCTGGCATAAATTGTTTGACTTTAGTGTCCCTTTAAACACCTGCGGCTCTTAGGACTTGTTAAACAAGTCCACAAAAGCTTTATTGCTATTGGTTGGATTTATTTTTAAGTCAATGTTTCAGTGCATCTTGTAAAGGCAAATCATAAAATTCATGTCAGCTATATTGGCTCTTCCACTCATGACCAGCAGGTCACAGCAACAGCACCCATGAGTGCTGTTGGGGTGATCTTATACTAAACTAACCTTATACTATGAATTTATACTAAAATTCCAACTCCCCCCCCCCCCCCCCACAAAGCAATATTTAATGGACAAGAAAGCAATCCAATGCATCAAAAGAACACTCAAGCGTTATTTACTTGTCTTTGCAAACTCACCTCTATCTCCAAAGCTTTCTCCTCAGTTGCAAAATTTTCAGTGATGCACTGAAAAATATAATAGCCATACAATGTTGTAGACTAATCACAAGCAAACTGTATTTAGAGATCCACATTTGATTTTTGCTGTAATAACTGTGATAAACAAAATTTAATAGGAAGCATCAGGTTAGGGCACACATTTATTTCCCACTCAGGCACATGTGAAATTTTAAAATATTCTTGCCACATAAGCAGTGAACCAATGTGAACAACTATCTGTTGCAGTTGAAAGGGAAATTTGAATGCCAATGGCTCGGGCAGAAGAGCTTCAATTTAAGACTCATAATGATTCCAGAGAATTCATACTGAGATACGTTGCTGTTTGGGCAAGTTAGCATTACGTATCTACAGCCTATATTATCACCACACATGTGCTACTACTTCCCCAGCTAACAGTTGATTTATGAGTGAATGCATAAAAGCATTATCTGGTCAGAAAAAACGTGACCGCTTGCTCTTTGTGTGCTATGTGTAGTAGCTCATCTGTTTCTTTCTTAAATTGTACATAGGCATAGAAAAAGCTCTTTCAACTGCCTGCAAGAGGAAGTACAGCAATGGCTGACCTCGAGTTTTATACTGTAGAGAGCCAAGAGTACTGTACCATTAAACCTTTCACTGCCTATCCCTAGGTAACTCAGGCAACAACACATGCCCAAGCTTTGCCTATCCCGAGCATACTCGTTATTCACTTCCCACCACTTGTGAGACAAGTCTTGTGAAAAAAAAATAATAATAATGTGGGCATGTAACGCTAGTTTTGGTGCAGAGACATAAACAAATGTAGGTTGCAGTAATATTTTTCACAACAGACCGAGCGCATGTTTCGACATCAGTGTTGATTCACATCTCTTTACAGTGTCTCAGCAGTGCAGCCATGGCAAGTCAGTGTGCCGTGTGCACGCCATTTGTTGGACGAAGAAAGTCAAGGGTTCTTAATTAATCTACACTGCTAATTAAGAAGAGAATAAGTGGTTTTGTCACTGAATAAGTGGTAAGATATTTTGTTAAGCAGTTAGGTGCTTGTACTTTTTTATAATTGTTAATTCGCTAGAAATGAGTGCGACTTTCATTTGATTACATAATACTCAATAAAAATATTTAACAGCCAAATATCACGCATTTTTTTGGGGGGATAATGAAAACACAACGTGATCTGTCCCATACGTGGGACACTGTTGCACCGAAGAGTACACCTCCAATCTGAAGCTGTTTGTATGCAACTGAGCACTGCCTATATGGCGATAATTTCTCCAGCTGGCCAAATTAAGCTTCAGGCATTGAGAATTGAATGTCATGGAATGTAATTTCAAACAAATGTTGCATTCCACAGCAACTATGCAGCATGATGCGCAGGAGCATCCTATTTTTCACGTCAACACAACTGGAACCCCGACCTCTCCAGTGGAGGCCCTCAAGCCCAATAGCAAGGGGTGGGAAGAAGGAAGGCAGGAGGGTAAAAGCCTATTAAAAACAGGCCTATCAGTGCTGCTTTTTTGACCCAACCTTGCACAACTTAGTGCAAGTTGCACTAATTTTGTACTGCTGTATTATTTAGAAATTCTTCCTATACTTCCTATGCAAATAAAAAGCCTCTGGTGACTACAGTCGCCGCCCGTTTATTCGGACATCTTCATGGCACCGCCACACTCCCCATTGATCCTAATGTAAACTCACGACCAAAAATTCGGACGCCCCACTTTGCGCCATTCGCTTATTCGGACTCCGTTTGACTGACCGGATGCGTCGCCGTAAGCCATTACACGCTGAGAGCGACGATAACAATACGTTTGCTAGGTTGCTGGCACTAATATAGTGCACTAGCTATGGATGGATGCCTGGCCAGTGTCAAAATGCATGCAGAAATCGCCCTTGCCGATATCAAAGGCTATGTTTGGCGACACTTTTTTTTTTAGCCAGTCGAGCGGCCAAGCTAAGCCACCTACAGAGTCTGTTTGCTGTGGCGTTTGTCAGCGTCAGCAGTGTCAATCAGCTGCTTTTGCGGCTAGGCCTGATTCGTCTTGTCTTGTTCTCGCTCGCTTGCGTGTTCCGTGGCATGCTGAAATGGCTACAACGCCACCCATTGCTGCGCCATAGGGAGTGAAGAAACGTGGCCAACGTGGGAGCTACAAGACGCTCACGATGACGAAGAAAGCGGATATAATACGCCAGGTAGAAGGCGGGCTACCTCAGTCTGAAGTCATGAATTTTCTATTTCCAAGCAAATCGTCTCGGAAGCGTGCGTGTGTGCAGACATGTCAGTTTTTTCGGGTGATAGGGTCTATAAAAGTACTTTTTTTTTCGAGTGAATCCATTTTTTCGGGCTCCCGATTATTCGGACGTTGTGGCGGTTCCCGTCGAGTCCGAATAAACGGTCGGCGACTCTATACCTTGCTTAAAAATACGTTTTGATGACAATACTATTGCACTATCGAGCTGCTTCGTTTGCGAACATCTGTATTCTGGCCAACAATTTTGTTTCGTGGTCAGCTATGCACACAATGAAGCTATTTCAGTTTTCTTCAGCTTTTCATCGAAAATCGACAATTGGCAGCGGCTGTAACTTTGGTAGAAGACGACAACTACACTCCATGAAGCATATGACGTCGACACGCCATGACGAAGTGCTCGCTAGCAGAGCGTGGAGTTTATAGCCGGCAACTCTTAGGGACCACCGCGGCAGGGCGAGAGAATTACCTCAAAATGAAAATCGAGAAAACTGCATTTGAAAGTTATAAACATATTTACTCATGATTACACAGTATGATTTATACAAAACTTTGTGAGAGCATAGAAGTGACACAGCTAACGCACTTAAAATTGTCCTGCTCCATATGTACTTCCTTCTCGCCGCTTGAGAAGGGAGTCATCGAGGCGTGCTTTCTTCGCCACGATGCGACGATGAGCCCTTGCCTCAGCTGTTTCACATGCGGACATTCTTTGGACTCCCCTCTAGTCGCGGGATTGGCCCAGGGCGATCAGTTGATCTGGTGGCAGTACACTGAGCTCTTGTAGCACGTATTCAAAGCTTGAATGTCTTTTATTAAACCACAGCACGGCCATAGCAGCTGCAGTTTCCACTGTTGTTCAGGAGGCAAACTTCACCTTCAGACACAACAACCAGATTTTCCTGTTCAAAGATTCTGGAGCGTTTTGGGTCTTTCCTTGAATACAGCAAACCAGCAACTTTCATCTGTGAGGCGCTTGTAAATGGGAAGCACAGTCGATCCTTGAGCCTTGGTTGAGATTGGCGTCCGGTCGGGTGGGGCCTCCCCAAGGGCTTCGGCTTGCCTATGCTTGCACCAGGAAGCCACCCCTTCTGGACAGTATCGGTGGCTGCCTGCGGTGTTGCTCGATGATGAGTCGAAATACGAGGCCCAGATGGCACCATGCCTTTTCAGAATATCACCCCTGCTTTTTGTGATTGCAATACAGTAATAGTTCTGCAGCTTCTGAATTATGCCATGTGTCAGCTTTTCTTCTCGTGGAAGTCGTGTTGGCAGTTTCCGAAGAGCAGTGCCTAGACGCTTGGCCACATGGTTTGTGCACTCCTTCTTGTCCACGACAACTTCACCATTTACCTTGGCCTCAGCGACAGCGGTGTAAGCTTTGCTGTCCCCATCACTGAGGAACTTGGTGAAGCGCAATGATGTTGTGTATGAGGGTGTCCTGCCTTATATGCGCAAAGCTGCCTCAGTCTCCATGGCATGAGATGAGCACTCTGTATTCTTTTCGCAGACAGGAATGTGGAATGCTTGCCGAATTTCTTCCTTAGCACCCCAGTCCTGGTGCCAGCTACAGGCGAGGCAGTAATTCGACAGTACCTCAAAATCTAGGCACAAACCAGTGTCCACAGACACAACAGCACCTATGCCATTGTGGCTCTTGTGCCTTCTTTTTTGCCATGTGCCATCATACATGACAGCAACATCAGCCCCATCCACTTTCTCCTTAGTTGTTATCCTCGCCTACGCCAGGTTTTTTTGCACAGCTTTGGTAGCTGCAGCATGAACTTTTTTACCAATTGCAATAAAAGTCTTGTGATGCATGAGTGTTGGCAGTCCAAGAGTAGCGCAAGAACGAGACAGCTGTTCATGCCAGATGCCTATTGCACGCGCAGCCACAACTGCTTTCACATTGACGGTGAAGCTGTCACGCGAGCTGCCGCTTTGGTAGCTACAGTCATCACCAGCATCGGTGGGCTGTCCTTCCAGCACAACACGCTGTGAACTATGCACGGCAGAAACCACCGACTCAGGACACTCACTGTTATCGCAGTACAGCTAGAGGAACGAAGAGAGGCCCTCGCGCTTACTTGTGGTGTTGCAGGCAACGTGTCCAGTGGTGTGGCATGTTGAACAAACAGCACGGCTTACCATCGATGTCAGTGCACCGATGTCACAAAATACTCCGCTCACAGAACCACCGACACTTTTTCTTCTCTCGCTCTCAAAAAGTTCACATCTTTTTTGGAGATGCGCTGGTGAACTTGATTACAACGTCGATTTCGTCGAAGTTCCCACAAGCCGCCATATCCCCGCTGCCTTGATTAGGCCTAGTGGCAGGCGGCTCGCTTTCTTCTACCGCTGCTTTGCGCTTCTGCTTATGTCGATGCCCTCAGTACTTGTTCTTGCTTGCAAACTTCGGGCTCGAAAGTCTCTCTTCTTCGAGTGATCCATGGCAGACTCAGAAAAACATAGAAACGCACATTAAGTGCCGGTCGTCGCAAGCGCTCAGCGAGCGGGGTCGATCAGATGTAGCCAATGACAGCCTCAGTAGCGTACCAAGTGACCAGTAAAGATGCCCGATGCGGCTGCAGATTGGCTAAAAACAGACTTGGAAGGGACTGTATTGTGAAATTCCTTGCCAAAACATGAAAGTAGGGGGATGCCTGTAAACTAGAAGGAGGCCTGATCTATGTCACCGAACAAACTGTGATGGCGGACGTCATCGTTTTGCAGAGTGGCGAATTTTAAAGACAGCCATCGCATGGATGAATTCACGACTTCAGGAGCTACCTTCGCTAACGCAGATCGATTTTTTACCCCTTTCTCGTTCCAATTCAGCTGTGACATTTGGGGAAATAATAGTTGAATGATCAGAAGTGATTTTAGGAACAATATCTCAATAGTAGAAATTTTCGCAAAAAACTTGATTTTTCGACGTGCATCTCCCTTTAATATCATGCCTATCAGCCATCTTGTGTAGGAGGAAACCCTGTTGACTAAACTTGGCAGCCCCGACTTTCACAGGCACTTAGATTTTGAGACAGGTTTCAAGACTACCAGCATTGACGTCGGCACAATTTTGTATTGAGGGGTGCAAGCTGTGTTGCACTTCAACTTGCTGGGGCAGGGGGGGGTGTCGCTCGAGGGGGCAGGGTGTCTACTGAGTTGACATTTCTAAATTCCCCGAGATTTTAAGGTTTTCCTCAAGTGCTCTTGCTAAAATCCCTGAACGAAAGATGGACATTTTATGTCAAGACAGGCTGATACCATGTCACCTGATGATGTCACTCTGATATGCTATTAATAAATAAAAAGGACTTCATTCCATTTCGTTGTACTTTAGTAATTCCACTATACTATTCATTCCAATACAGAGAAAATTAGGCCTAACAAAGTAGGCAAAATAGGCAGTTTGCCTCGTTATATCGAAACTTTGTTTAACTGCAATGCTCGACCAATACAGTAGATCGAAAATTTTAACAGTGCGCTTGATTGGGCTTAGGCTGGTTTGTGCTCCATAGTAGACGACTAAAACAGCGCGAAGGACGTGAAAAATTCTACTTTTTATAAAAAATCACTCTCGCTCAAACCGAGGTCCCGCTACCAAAATTCGTTACGGCAAGGTCCTCTTCGCCATGCCAGTGCGTCAAGCATAAAGACGAAAAAATTACAGGATCAATGCAATGTGCGATTATGCCTATTCTGCTCCTGCGGCTTGTCATCAAATTTGGGATGTTTATCCATTTATTCTCCACTAAGTAGCAGGCACGACCACCATAAAATAAAACTAAAAAAGTTGCATGCTAGGGGAAAAAAAGTCGGTTTCAACCCGAGGGCCAAGCGATGGGTGCGATAGCAACAAGCTGGAATGTCATACAGATAAATGCTAGCCGTTCCTCAGAAAATGTGGCCCCTGGAGCAAGCAAAGTGACCTACATTTCGACACATGTCGCTCTGCCACAAAAGGCCCGCCTTTTAAATTTTGATTGACGTCGTCTGAGCTCGCCCTGCTTGCAACTGTTCAGCATGGCTTTGTGATTATAAGGCTTGATTAACGTTGTTTCGATTGTCAACAGCACTTGCTATCATACCGAAATAACATAGATACATTAAAAAAAAACTTTTTTTTCAAGGACAAGTTGGGGGGTGGGTTCATTATGCAAGTGGGTTCATAACACGAGTAAATATGGTATATATTACAGCGGGGCAAGGGGGTGAGCGGGGAGTGGAGCAGACTGCTGAAATTCTCTCGAGTCTGTATACCTGTTTTCATTCAATCTTATCTGACATACCTTGACAAGCCTTGCAATAAGGAAGCCAGAGCCATAGCGCTTCCTAACAGCATCCTTGTTGTTCTCGAAAAACCTCCATGTGAGGTCCCGGCCCACGGCAGTGATGGCACAGTAGATGATGACAAAGACAGCATCTTGCGACTTCACTTCGTCCTTTAGGTAAGAGCATAGACACTCAAAATAAGTAATATTGCTGTAAATGTGTACATATTTTTGTGATATGTATCTGTACAAATGAGAAAAGTTTTACCTGTTCACGGTAACAATCATCACTGGCATACTTCAAGTCTATGTTCAAGACCAGAAGAGGAGGAGCACAAAAAGGACACTAATATTTCTTTTTTATTAGATATGCAAGGCCATAGTGTGAGATGACAAGGGTAGTCTGTAATCTCTCCCCCTCACACATCGCTAGGCACACAGCTAATAAAAATTAAATTGCTATTCAACACAAGTGCTCTCATTTGTAATTATTCGAATACAATGTTTTGCAAATCTACTGTGATTATATTATGACTAACATCATTTTATGCAGTTGCATGGCTGTTATGCACTAGAGGCAATGTACCGAATGGGCCAGGCTTCATAGTTCTCTTCTTGTTCTTGGCGAGCTTAGCAGCTTGCAACAATAATGTTAATGCACTAATGTTAATAATAATATGTTGAAACATTATTAACACTAAGTCCATATTGCATCAAGAGAGAAAAGACTTTAGGTAAATATATGGCATATTGAAGCATTAGAGCTCTGTGTGTGCATTTATTAGCAAGGATGACAGCGTATGAGCATGCCTTTAAGACATGTTGCATGAAGGTAATAATAATAATAACTTCCTGGGTTTTATGCCCTTAAACTATGATATGATCACAAGAGATGTCATAGTGGAGGGCTCCAGAATTTTGGTCACTTGGGGTTTTTTAATATAAATCTAAGTACATGGGCTTCTAGCATTTCGCCTACATCGAAAATGCAACCTCCACAGCCAGTTCCATGAAGGTCAGCGACCACTAACACGCACATGTTGCCAAAGCCTCCATCCAGCACACACTAAAGGCATGATCTAGACATTGCCACTACCAAACCAGACAAAACCAAACTCTTCCCACGCATACCAAACAATGCGCAAAGCAAGAAATGATTACCAAGGAGTAATTTAAACTGTTACACTCTGTTACTCTGCTTTCTACTTCTAGGTGTAAAGTAAGTGACGCCCCACAATGACCACAGCCACCACGACAACAATGTAATTGACATCTACACTTGGCCATTTCTGCATTTTCTTCTTTTTGCTGTTGCAAACTTTAAATTCCTACCTCTGGTGCCATGGTGTGGGACACAAGGCTGTGAAAGGAGTGAAGGGCCATCATAACTGCGGTAGTGCCACATAAGGGCAAAATTATTAGGCAGTGGTCTATTTGCCTCGTTCATCACCGATGATGGCACTCGGGCGACGTACTCCGTGGGATTGGGCTTTCGTTGTTTGCTAGGCTCTGGCTACAACAGCTGCACCATCATTATAGTTGGCTTGCATAGAACGGTGCTCCTTGATTACTGGCTGCATTTTTATTTAGTTAAGTTTTACAGATGTCTGCCAACATTATAGGAGCTCAAAAAAAAAAAATACATGGAAAATAAAAGGTCACTGTGCCTTTCAGAAGATAACCTTGTCATAAGGAACGAGCATGGGAATGAGGCTATAATTTTTTACTGGCTCCATTGTTAGTTTATTGGCAAAAAAAAAAAATCACTGCATGCTCCTAAAAACAATAAAATAAATGCAGAAACACATGCCCGTTGTTGTGGAAGGAAAACTTTTCTTCTTAGATTTTAGCCTTACTGTTGTCATAGCAACCGGTGGCTCACTCAGACGCAGATGCTCTGGCTGGTGCAGTGGTGCCACTGGACCAGCCAGAAGAGGAAGACGTGCTGGTCCACGAAGCGCTAATTTTCACAAGCGCACCCACAGGCGTCAAAGGTTGCGAATTGTTTTTTTTTTCTCTGTCTGCGTGTGTAGATGTTTGTGTGCATTATGCATATGATTGGTTCTTGAGTGCGTAAGTATTCATTCTATAGTGAAGATAGGAGGACGACAAAGCGCACGAGCAAGCAGCAAGCCTCAATGCCAGTTGTAGCACTGGTCTTGAGCGTACGCTTGCCCAGATTCAGGCTGCTTGACGCTCAGCGCTCTTTGACGCCCTACGCTTGACATTTCTTGACTTTCGCTAAGTCAACGTGTCAATAAACCACATCACAGTTCACTCATTTATGCCAGTTGATATCTTGTGGCAGCAAAAAGGTGAAAATTAAATTTTCCCGATGATCGAGCACTGCTCGTAGATATGAAGGCATCACATTTTGATAGAAAAAAATTCAGATAGAAAGCAGTGTTGGTGCCACACCGACACTTTCCATTTCGATCAGGGGTCAATCCTAATTAAGTTCGATCCTGATCTGGTGCTGCTTCACAGACACTTTTAGTCATGATCAGGCCTGACTGGGATCATGATGATTAAAATGATAGTGCTTGTAGATACCGACTTCACTGCCGTGCGCGCCAAACTCGATCTAGATTAGGCTGCACCGTCTAGCAGCGACTAACTTGTTGATTGTGATCAGGGAGACCAATTCAGATGGCTTTTGACAGCAATCAAAAGTCCCTGTGTGACAATGGTATTACTGACGGACAAGAAGAGAATGGGAGCAGCTTAAAGATGAGTTCAACAGCAACAGTGACGTGCCGAGCAGCCGTGGTGTGCATGAAAAAGCTGGAAAACAATATATTATCCAGAGTGAAACACGTTCCCTTCCATGCCGTACCGGCAATATTTTTTGCACTCCTTTAATAATGCAGGGCAGTGCGGCCTAGGGTATGCCCACCAAGTCACCCCTCAAAATTTGAGAAGTGCCGGAGGCGCAGATACGGGGCACCACCAGCGGCTGAAGGAGTGGTGACATGGAATAATTGCTGTAGTAAGTACTTGTTTCAAGCGACAGCTTGAGGACATGGTGGAAAACTGCTCACTTAGAAAAAAAAAACGGAATCATATGCTCAGTAACACACCACAGAATTTAGATAGTTTTTGAGCACTAGTCGTATTAACTTCATCACGTCACTGTTTCTTTAAAGTGGAATGAACCCAATTGGCTTTGTAAAATTGCTTGCATAATCAGCCATATAGTACCATGTAAGTGCCACATCAAAGTACCTTCTGGACTACCTCATGATACACAGTTTTTTCACGGCGATGAGGTTAAACTGGCCATCACACACCAGACAATTCGTAGTTTTCAGCAAAAACTAAATGTAGAGAATATATTATGCCTATAGAGATATGAAAAGTAGGCTGTAAAAAAATATTTCACTGTAAAATAGGCCCCAGAAGTCACCTGCATTAAACTCCGCCCCATGCCGGCCACTGCCATTTTGCCATGTCACGGCTCGCGAGTGCTGGAGTTACCCAACTCTCAGGCTACTCGCATGTTTGTAAAAATATTCAAATTTAAATTAAGCGCTCCAAGAAACACACTAAAATTTCGCCATCTTATTTGTGAATGCTCAAGGATTAAGTTACATAACCAGATTATGATACAAAATTGGGTGTCAGGGCCCCTTTAAGGAAAGGATGTATGAAGCATGAGGTTTATTCATGAAATGTGATAAGAGGCTCCATCTCCAGATAAGGAAAGCAACAAAGCATAAAGTTGGTTTGTGAATACCAGCCTTAATCTTCCTCCTGTCCCCCTTTTAGTGGTGCTGGCTACGTTTGTGCAAGCAACTTGTTTACGCTAGTTGTGCGAACTGGTGGCTGAGGGAGAGCATGATACAGTGCTCATCAGACGTATTGAACACTCTGCATAGCTATTATGTCTTGACTTAAGCTCAGTGTGCTGCGTATGGCTGCAGCCAATCACTCTGGTGAAGGCACTACGACGCCCGACGATCATTCGATCCACCGCGTTCCAGAACTAAAACGAAAAGTTTTTTTTTTTTTCATTTGACGCTGAAGGTACAGTTCCGTAAAAAGTGAGGAAAATCGCTGCTCTTTCCCATCCTGTTTAAGCCCCTTCAACTGACTACTGATACTCTTTGCTGTAACAAGATTCAATATTTCCTACAATGATCTCGCCAAGCTCTATTAGGACTTGACCACTGAGTGACTTACAGTTTTCTTTCAGGTACATTTCATTAGAACCTTCTCATACGAAAGCTTTTTACTTATTCGCCTTAGTATGATTACACTAATTATGTTTGTCGAACCTTCAGATGACAATAAACGAGTTAGAAAACGGTTTATCAACGTAGGTATTAATATATGCTGCATAAGAGAATGTAAGAAAACCTGTCAACATTTCATAGCACCATTGCACATCCCTCTTTTCCTCATGCTCCAACCTTCTAATTTTCTTGTCTAAACTTTAGGTACTTACAACACGTTTACACAGCAGCTGCTGAAAAGTTGGATCTGATTGATATGTAGGGTTTAACATTCCAAAACCACAACATGATTATGAGAGACGTCGTAGTGGAGGGCTCCGGAAATTTCGACCACCTGGGGTTCTTTAACATGCACCCAAATCTGAGCACACGGGCCTACAGCATTTTCGCTTCCATCTAAAATGCAGTCGTCGCAGCTGGGATTCGATCCCACAAACAGCGGGTCAGCAGTCGAGTACCTTATCCACTAGACCATCGCGGTGGGGCGAAAAGCTAGATCTATTCACACATTTTTTTGTCATGTGCTAAGAACCAAACAACGTAACTTAACCGGCAGAGCAGGTTTTGCAAATGAACACGCACAGCACGCAGTATAAAAACATTTCCCTACAATGCAGAAATGGAAGCTAAGGGCTAAACACTGCAGTCAATGTTCGAAAATGAGCCGGCACGCCGTTATGAGTGTGCCAAAGCTATAGCACAGTTATTGCAAATAAGTTCTAGCCATACTTGCAGGCATAAAATTTTATGGCTAGCAGACGACGACACTAGGAGCAATCTACACTGAGTGTGCTCTAAATGACAAATCTGCCCGATTTCGCAAAGCACTTTGCTTGAATATTCAGTGCAAATTGTTTGATGAACTTCTCCACTAATGTTTGAACAACTTGAGCAGAACAGACAGGCCGGCAGCATAGAGCAGCCTTCACATAGCGACCACATGTGCGCAGAGTAGCAACAAAGTCCCCGCGGGCGCCACTCAAAAGATCTCCGGGCGAGCAGACACACTTTTGGTGATTGGCAGTGGGTAGAGCACTTGCAGGAAACAGGCAATGTGCTCGCATGTACTCATAGCCAGCAACATTCTACCAAAAATGCACTGACATGAAATAAAACATCACGATATTTCAACATGACACAAACATCAACACTCACTGAAAGAGCAAACTCAAGGGTCGCTTGAATGAGTTCTGGGTTTGTAACACCAGCCAGGGCAGCCGAGAGTCGATTCTTCTCCTCCTGAAGGTCAGTGCTTCTGTAGAGCTGCAGAATTTTAGAGAATATATATTTAGAAATTACTGACATACTAACAATAAAAGACAGAGGATGAAGTATTAACAGTGATGCTAAGCTAGGAAAAGTAAACAAAGTACAAAATCCAATGAGTTCACCACAAATGAACAAAGCAGGTCATATAAAAGTACTAAATAAAAATTCTGTGAGCAATCTTTTGCAAATCATACCAAGAGTGGCAATCCATCAGACGTTACTTCCCAAAACTGTATTTCTGGTTGCACAATGTGGTCATGATCGTATGATACTTTCACATTACAGTTAAACTCGGACATTAAATTATTTGCTATATCAAACAATTGCAAATTCCACGAGACAGTATAGCAGTGAAAAACATGGATATCTAACTTCTGTTCACTTCCACACTAGATATATCGAATGCTTTGCCCCCGAAAGCATGCTTCACACAGGCGTGTGACACATCCATCGCCACCTAAAATAGTCTCTTCAAAACTGTACAGTTTTCACCAATGCTGTTGAACGGGACCCTGCTTATGAAGAGGCATCACGAGCAATGAAAAAAAAAAAAAAAAAAAAATGAGCAAGACAAGAATACATTGTACAGCAGGAATTTTATTCGTGCCTTCATAATGATGCATTGTGATTGATAGGCTTTAACATCACAATCAAGCAATGCAGCAAAAAATAATAAGACAGTAAAACACACAGCCATTTGTTAATAGAAAAAGTTAAGGCCGCTTCGGACAAGTGGTCTCAAGCCACAAGAAAGTGCTGTACCGGGCGACCTGTCTACTTTATCTTTTTCTTCCTGCCTTTCCTTATTTCTTTCCGTTTCTAGCTATGGACATCTTTTTATTTCTTCCTTCTCTTTCCCTTTCTTTCTGTGTAGCTTTCTAATTTTTCTACTCTGCGTGAGTTTCTATATCTTTCTCTCTCTATTTCTCTATAGCTTCAGTGCTTTCTTTCTCCCGTTCTGCACCTGTTCTGTCGCCCATCAGAGTTATTGCATACTGTGGCGCACAACCCGTGAGAAATCATCCAGTATGAAGCATGTGTTTCTCAAAGTGTGAATTGATAAACAAGACCTTTTTGACCTTTTTTTCATGATCTCCAGAGGCTGTTCTAGACATCAAAGTTTTTACATATTCCTCAGATAGGCACACTTTGTACTACAAGTTACAGATACATCAAACTATCTGGGTACAGAGATTAAAGCGGGCTTCAGTCTTTTGGAGCAGCTCGGGAAGCAGGAATAATGATACTTTGGAGCAGCTTTTGCGCACCAAAATGTGTGTTTTGGAGCAATGCAGTATAGTCTTGGAGCAGATTTCATCACTGTCAACTAACATTTTTTTCTTTCTGGTAAAAAAAAAATTCAAGCGGTTTCTACAGAACATTCAATACAGATGAAGCGACCAGACATACTGAAATTGGTGTGTGCGTGCATAGGCATGCTTTAAAACATTAAGGCTGACAGTGCCGTAACTAAAAGAGAAGAAGACATAAGCAATACCCTGGATACCTCCTAAACCCCAGACAAATTAAAAATGCTAACGTTAAAATGAGGAGACATTAAAAATGCAAATAAAACAACACATCTCACATAAATGGCAACTGAAGACTAGAGATGAACTAATAAGGGTTACCTTCATTTTAAACTCAATAAGACAATAAATTTATGCGCCTGTCATTAAAGCGTCTCAGTCGACATAAGAACTGTTATGAGAATAGAGATATGCAATGTGCTCGCTGCGCCGTTGCTAGGCGATGGCACGGCAAGTTTTTTTTTTTTTTTTTATTGCAATAGCACTCATATGGATACTCTCGACAGGTTTTTGCCACTGCCATCATGTTCCGTGAGACCCCTGTACAGGTGGTTTCATTGTGGTGGAGGAGTGCTAAGCAGTGAAAGCACCTGTCTAAAATTTAGACAGGTGCAAGTAGTGAATTTTAGGTTCGAAACGAACTTGAATAGTGTATATGACATATGAAGAAAAATTGGCATTTTATCATAACCTAAGTGACCACAAAAATATTTTTTTTAAATTGAAGTAAGGCCTCCATGCAAATGCCTTTGTTTTTTTATTCAAAGGAAGTCGAAACAATGTTGAGTAGTAGCAGAATTCGACTTTCGGTAGGATGCAAGTGATAACCTATAAAAGGTGTAACATTATAAAATTTATTATACTTAGAGCACATAATCTGTCATAACAAGTTTTTATGCTTAAGGGGGCAGACTGGTCTTTGGAACCAAAAAGTAACAAAAAATTCATTTTTTAAAATTGACATATTTGGTTTCTGAAAGTATTTTTTCTATCCCTCTGCAAATTTTCACACACCAAGAAGTGGTAATTTTTTTGTAATTTCAATTTAACTGTCCAGATTCTTGGTGCTGTTAACATGCAGAACCTGCAAAAAAAAAAAATGGGGAACCAACTTCGAGGCTTCTTATATTTTGCCAGCACCTGTGTTAGAAGCACTGCTACAAATTTATGAGCACCTTTATGAGGATTGCAAAACATGCGCACCATGATTGTTGCTTTTTGAAGAAGCTGTGCGTTATCAGATTTTTTAATTTTTTCTCAAAAAAAAAAAGAAAAAACAAAATTACGACTGTTCAATTTTGAGGCCTCAATATCTCTGCAGTTAGGGCAGGTACAACAATCAGTCTTCTTGCAATGGAAACATGTATGTGTGTAGAATGCAAGTATGGGAGCAGAATTTAGAGCACAAGCTTTTTTAATTAATTACTCATCAAAATGATTACAATTACAACTGCTTTTGAATGTGGACAGTTCATTTTGCTGTAAAATAACCGAGAAATGCCTAAAAACAAAAAAACTCTTGCATATTTTCAATCTATAGTCTTTAGTCTTTGTCGGCATATCTCAAATATCACTTTTAATTAAGCACTCCTTTTTTTTTCTATGGCGGCCTTAAACAATAGGGGGTGAACTTAATCAGGGTTCGTAGAGGTTTCCAGAGCGAAAATTCAAGGGTATTCAAGGGATTTCCAAGACCTGTTGCAAGTTTTTCAAGAACTAAAAGCAGCATGCTAAGTTGAAATTTTTCACTCTAAAATTTTTTTAAATGACCAATTTTATTACACTTACAAATATATGGATATCACAATTATATAAAAAAAATAGTGTAGTCTTAAAAACTTCTCGCACCCTCTCCCACACTCTGCATATAGCGAGGTCACGATGCCATGTCTAGAAGTTACGCGCTGATGAACGCGCATGTGTAGTCAGGCCTTAAAAGGGTCGTGCCACAATATTTGTGGCTTGAACGGTCTCTTTGCAAGCTTTAATTATAGCTCCAATAAGCACGATACATGCACCAAGATTAATTCATTCTCGCTTTATAATTTGTCGCCTTTTTGATATGAACAATTTTCAGTTCCTGTTAGTGGAGACCGAGTTGGGCAGGTATGTAGCAGTGTAGCTGATTTAGTCACGTGATTACAAAGCCTTGCACGCATCATGCTGAGTATTGTTAGCTCTCGCACACATGTGCCACACAAGCACCTGCAAAACAAACTCGTCGCTACCTGCAGCAGCCGCGATGCTTTGCCGGTATGTACGGGATGGAAGTCCGGAGGTCACTCACCTGACCACGGATATGATCTGACGTCGCTAGAATTTTCGTTGCCCTTCCTATAGTGCTACGTCAGTGCTAGATCCGCTCGCGATGGGCTTCGATAAGGAGAATTAGCATTTAGGTATACTTAGAAAGTGACTTAAGATGTACTCTTAAACCCAGAGGGTGCTTGAAATTTGATGGCACCACCCCTTCAAGAGTGTCAGCTTGTGCAGAGTTGACACTCGCAGCACGTTGCTCAACAACCAAGAAGTAACAACTGTGACAGTGGTTAATTTACACTCATCCTGTGTATACACGCATGTTCTCTTCTAGCACCCTTGTTGATTTGTTAAGCAGCACGCTTCCTGTGTCGAGCCGTTACAGTCGTTTATCAGCACTTTTCCTGTGCGCTTTCTTTATGCGTGTCCTCTGTGCTTGAGCTGCGTGTTGCATGTACAGGGTTGCATGTCCTTCTTGTGATATCGTAATTTCTTGCTATCACACCCACTGCTTCACCCTTGCCACAAACAAACTTTTTTTTTTCACATGTGCTTTTGCAAAATGGGATCATGTGCACCCCTGCCGCATTACTGCTTCAGAAAGGGGGAGTTTAACAGGTTGACACACCAATGTACCACATTTAGGAGGTCGCGATGTCGATATGAGAGTGCACTGCTCAAGAAATTCAAGGATTTACAAGGATGGCGAAAAATTCCAGGACTTTCAAGGGCCTTGAAAATGCATTTTTCAAATTCAAGGGCTTTCAAGGATTTCAAGGACCTGTACGAACCCTGTTATCTCAGGAACAAGATGAGTTATAGAAAAACTAATTAAATATTTGAAATTAGCAGAAAAAACTACATAATCCTGTGCAGCTTGATCAATATCTCTGAAGAATGATTGATTGATACGTGGGGTTTAACGTCCCAAAACCACTCTATGATTATGAGAGACGCCGTAGTGGAGGGCTTCGGAAATTTCGAACACCTGGGGATCTTTAACGTGCACCCAAATCTGAGCACACGGGCCTACAACATTTCCGCCTCCATCGGAAATGCAGCCGCTGCAGCCGGGATTTGAACCCGCGACCTGCGGGTCAGCAGCCCAGTACCTTAGCCACTAGACCACCGCGGCGGGGCAAAAGATCTCTGAAGAAAGAAACAAAAAATGTCTAAGACCAGTCTGGCCCCTTAATAAAGTGATAAATTGATTTGAGGGTAATCATTTATAGGAGCCCTGCAACACTTTTTTAAGTAGCTAAGGAGCCAGTAAAGAAGCCTGTCACCTCGCAAAATTTCTAGAATAATTCCAGTACGAGCCGAGTTGCAAAAATTAGTCACACGCTGCAACTGCATTCTCTCTTCTCGTCCCAACAAAATAGCTGAAAGCTAAGCAAAATACGTGACTTGCACCTCGCGACCTTG